AGCAAACCTGGCTGGAGCCTGTCATCGTCACCTGCAGCCACGACTCCGGAGGGCAGCCTGTCCTCTGCCAGTTGGTGGGTGGACAGAATGGTCAGTGTCTATCTTGTGCTCCAGATGTGTTTGCATGGGATGTTTTCTGGTAAAAGCAGCTAGCCATCTTGGTTTAATATGCTTCTGACCCAGGCATGGGCAAACTTCAGCTCTCCAGGTGTTTTGGACTTCAACTCCTAGAAATCCCAGCCAACTTACCGGCTGTCATGAATTGTGGGAGTTGAAGTCCAACACATCTGGAAGGCCGAAGTTTGTCCATGCCTGTCCCAACCTATGAATTTAAAACAGTAAGTTAGGAGGGCTCTGGAAAGTTGCCTGATTTAGACTGCAGAGTAGGTGAAACTTGGTATTCCTATAACAGATCTGTGTCATTTGCATATCTATTCCTGTCTTGAAAATTTATTTTTAAAAAATATTATAGGGGGCATCATAAACAGGGATAAATTGAGTCAAGATAGTTAGGAGGCAGACTTGATTTAAAAACAAAACAACCTACCTACAACATTGCATTTCTTGGAGGAAGCATTGGGTAGTGTTGTACCCTTTACCGCATGTTGGGATTGTGTGGTATAGAGATCATACTGCCGGTCTTGAAGGGGTGATGTGCAAAAGTCTTCCCATTTTTGTATCTAAAATACTGCAATGTGGACAGTTTTCCCTCTGTTTAGATAAGTGAAATAACGTGAGGTATTTATATATTTTATTTATTGTGTCAGAAGCAAATTGAGAATACATTTATAATGTATAAAATGCCACAAACAAAGTTAAAAGCTTGGCATTATGCTAGATTTCCTTTGACCAGAAGCTGGCCACTTGGAGTGCCTCTGGTGTGGCTGTAAGAAGGTCCTCCATTGTGCATGTGGCAGGGCTCAGGCTGCACTGTAGTAAGTGGTCTGTGGTTTGCTCTTCTCCCCACTTGCATGTCATGGACTCTACTTTGTAGCGCCATTTCTTAAGGTTGGCTCCACATCTCGTGTTGCCATAAAGTGTTTATGACAAATGGGAAACAAAATTGATGTGTCAGGGCTTGAAGCAAGAATTCAAAGAAACAGGGAAATGAATGAAGTTCTATTTTGTTTTGATTGTATGCTTAGCTTCTCAGTGATGTTAAGTAATGAGGCTGGCATCTCAGTCTAAGGGCATGTAGGAACAACTAATTTAGGTCCCCATCCCACCAGTTCTGCTGACTAAGAGGCACGCTCACAGCAAAAGCAATGGTGAAGCACTTAGTATATAAATACACTGTACAGGGGAGTCATGTCTTCTTGGAGGGGATAAGATTTTCTGGTGACCATACAGCTCTGAAAGTCTTACTGGATATCATTGAGTTCATATTCCTTTCTCAGGTTAGAACTCTTGACAAAGGGATCACTATATTTCTGAAGGATAATTTGGAAGCTCAGTTTGATACCTTCCTTTAAATGGATGTCAGTGGCTATGTGCTTTTAAAGAAATACAGGGTTATGTTAGGGAGACTTTTTGTCCTACACCTGTTGGGAAGCCTCCCACTGTGGGCTGTCATCCAGCTCCTGGTCCCCCCTTGCTCCCGTCCTGCCGCCCTCTTTATCCCTTACAGCTGGGCCTCCGGTGATGGGCTGTCTTTACTGCTGGAATGGATGACGTCACCATGTTTACACTCGTTTGATGGCACTGCTCTGTGAACCAGGAATGTTGAGAATGGGGCCTGTGTTGAATCATGCACTCTCTGTCAGCTCTGTTGTGAGCGAAGAATTGGCGGTGCTTGTGCTGAGTGCAGGCCTTTTGAGTCCTGGCGAAATGTGTTGAGGCTGCACTTTTTTCCCTTTGCAGCCGTCGCACTTGGCACTTTCCAGTGTGATCTTTCTTCGGGAAGCTGTCAAAAAGCTGAGAAATCAGCAGTCTAGGGAATTAAACCAAGTTTGTCTCTGTCTGGATGCCAGCTCTCTCTGGCTGTCCTTTTTGCAGGGCATTAATAAGTCCTGCTGCTTTGGCCAGTGGGTCAGGGTTGTTGAAGAGCCTGATGCCATCCCAATTTATGAAAGAGAAAGTTTTGGTAGGTTTTATTACTTATTGATTGCCTTCTGTTAAAAACAACAATGATAAATCCTTAGAGATGTGACAATTCTGGTCCCCCTGGGTGCAAACTTATATCACACTTTTTGTATTGAAAGATCACCAAATTCTTAACTCTTATAACACTGAATCTTATATTCTGACTTAATAGACCTTCGGGATTTTAGGAAGGTGTTCCGTCATTTTTTTCAGAGCAGTGTTTTGTATTACAGTGAGAGAGAGCTGTGAACAACTGAGGTTTTTTTTTTTTTAGCCAGCATTCTGCCCTGCACTCTTTTCCAGATGTTTATAAGCAACTGTATGTTTCAGGCATTGATCTTGATGTATAATAGAGTCGTGGCCTCACGGGGTCTTGCTGAGTTGGCAAAGCACTAAGTGTGTGTATTCTGCTGCAAAGTAGCCCCCCCTCCCCCGATATTGCATGAACATAATTTGTTCTTGTCATTGTGAAACTTAGCACTACTTATTTATTTATCGTGTCAAGAGCAAACAAGAGGTACAATTGTGATGTATTTGAGAAAACACAAAGTTTAAAAACTTGGCATTCTGTTAAATGTCCTTTGACCAGTAGCTGGCCACTTGGAGTGCCTCTGGTGTTGCTATAAGAAGGTCCTCCGTTGTGCATGTGGCAGGGCTCAGGTTGCATTGTAATAGGTGGTCTGTGGTTTGCTCTTTTCCGCACTTGCATGTCTGCGGCCTAATTTCTTAAGATTGGCTCAGCATCTTGTGGTGCCAAAGTGCAGTCAGTTCAGCGTCTTCCAAGTTGCCCAGTCTTCTGTGTGCCCAAGAGGGAGTCTCTCATCTGGTATCAGCCATGGATTGAGGTGCTGGATTTTTAGCCTGCCACTTTTGGACTCTTGCTTGCTGAGGTGTTCCTGTGTTGACGTGCTGACTGATATATCCGAACAGGGGATGTGCTGGAGAAGTCACTTCCTTGGTCCTTTCATTATTGGCTGCTACTTCCTGGTGGATGTCAGGTGGTGCGATACTGGCTAAACAGTGTAATTCCTCCAGTGGTGTAGGACACAGACAGCCTGTGATAATGCAGCATGTCTCATTAAGAGCCACATTCACTGTTTTAGTGTGGTGAGATGTGTTCCACACTGGGCATGCATACTCAGCAGCAGAGTAGCAAAGCGCAAGGGCAGATGTCTTCACTTTATCTGGTTGTGATCCCCAGGTTGTGCCAGTCAGCTTTCGTATGATATTGTTTCTAGTGCCCACTTTTCGCTTGATATTCAGGCAGTGCTTCTTGTAGGTCAGGGAATGGTCCAGGGTAACTCCCAGATATTTGGGTGTGCAGCAATGCTCCAGTGGGATTCCTTCCCAGGCTCGGGATGCTTGTTTGTTCTTAAGATGAAAAGCACACGTCTGTGTTTTAGATGGATTAGGACTACTGATTGCGGTGGATTCATAGCTGTATTAATGGTCTTTTCCATTCTTTAAAGCCCCTCAAATCATTTTTCACATGAACACAGATAATGGTACCTAACGGGTTTTTTTCTGATGCATTCCAAGGAAAGGCTTGATTCTAGCATCAGTATTGAGACTGTGCTCAATGAGTGAGTGACTTTCAGTGATATGTAATGCTTTATCTCGTATACTTGATGGGATACTTGTGAATGCTCGGTATTAATTTAAACCAGTAATAAAAAAAATATCATTTTTCAACATTACTATAAACTCAGAAAGAGACTTTAATTTGGTTGGAGTTTTTGTTTAGGGCACTGTTTTGCAGGGTATCCTATGTGGGAGATAGGCAATGCCCTCCTCTCCCATGTCCCAGGGACCAATACCATAATTGTACTCATTGACTCTAGCTGTTTCTTTGCTTTCTGGAAACTTGATGTGTACAAACAACAATGGTTTTGTGGGTCACAAAAAAAGGATATAGTCACACAAAAACAGGTGGAAAGCCAGACAGAATTAGGATATCAATTTAAAACATATACAAGCATATAGCAACTATTAAAAGATAGATTAAATCTATTAAATAATAATAAGCAATTCAATTTAAAAAGTACACACACTGTCCAATTTTATATATAGCAATAAGGGTGAAGGTCCATAAGGTGTAAATTAATAATTGAAGGACAGTAGATGGTCTAAGGTGGTGGTTCTCAACCTGTGGGTCCCTAGATGTTTTGGCTTTCAACTCCCAGAAATCCTAACCGCTGGTAAACTGGCTGGGATTTCTGGGAGTTGTAGGCCAAAACACTGCTCTAAGATCTTGGCAGAGATTCATTTATAGAATCATAGAGTTGGAAGAGACCATCCAGTCCAACCCCCTGCCATGCATTTCAACCTATGGTCTTCCTCACTGGCATTTAAAGTTCTAATATTTCCCAGTTCTTTCCTTCTGGGAGAGCTTAGCACAACAATATAAAATCTTGAAAAGTAAACATGCCTCTTCTCCTCCACTATCCACAGCCGGTATATACACCACCCTTTGAGTGATACTGGTTTAGGGAGCATGGTTGCTTTATCTTGTCCTAACCTGAATCAGAATCTTCATTAACAATAATGGTAGGCTTATTTCTGACCTACTGTTAGAAAGGCTGACTCCCAATGGAGCTGCAGGCAGGGTTGTTAGTCGTGTAGCGCCGGCTAGCAAGGAAGGCTTTATCTGGAGGTCAGTCATTGTCTGAAGCCTGTTTGTTGTTCTGAAGACACAACAAGGGTGTTGAGGTCCCTTTCTGTGAAACAACTGTGACCCCCTGTGTTACAGAGGGGGAAGCCTCTCATCAAGTGACCACAGCCGTGTCCTTTGGGCTTGTGCACTTGGCTCATCAGCAGTTTTTTGTGCTCTAGGAATATGTGAGTTTTTGCTGGCCTGTTAGCGCTCCTGGAAAGCGCTGAAGCCATCCCTTCTGGGGGTGCTGCTGGGGGGCCGTTTTCTTGGCTTTTGCTGACACCAGCTTGTCTTCTTAATTCCGTGCTATAAATGTGAGCTGATGTTTTATGCATTTAACAAACAAGAACATGGGCTGTGGGGGAGGAGCGGTTATTATGCCATGTAAGTGCTGATGATGTGCTTGGGTGGGAGGTGGATGTAAAAACATCCCGGTCTGGATTCACATAGTAATTCTTCTATCCCCAAGACAGTATTGACCACTGCAGCAGATTTTTCTTCTTGTTTAGGAACAGCTGAGGCTTCTGTATTGTTCCAGAGGAATAGTAAGAGGTAGAGTACTTTCTCATGGCTAATATAATGTATGTATGTGTTGGGTGGTGGTTTGACATATAAGGTACAATTCATCTTCTGAGGCAATCTCAGGTCTTCTGCAGGAAAGAGTGACTATTCTTGCAGGTAGTTTCAAGTTGAGTCTTGTGAAGAAAGTAGTATTATTCAGCTTTCTTTTGTTTGTTGAATTGCATAACAAGATTTGTCTCAATGGGAAGCCTTTTGGTGAAGCCACTTTGCCTTTCAATTTAGAAATGGGACGAGAGGTTTCATGAATGTTAATGAAAGTCCGTTAACAAAGGATAATTTGGTACATGGCAGTGAAAATTTGCTAGCAAATGTGCTTTCTCTGTCAGAAGTGTTATGCACCTTGTGGATTTGGGTATTGTCATGCTAAGTGTCCCCCTTAGACTTGCACAATGGGTGTTGAAATCATGAAATGCAGAAGCTTTATTCGTGTGAGTTCTTTAATTTGCCTTTAAGTATAAACCATGATTATACTTTTCAAGCTTATTTCTGAAATTGTAATTGTTGGGATCTTGAGAACCATAGTTTACATTTTTTAAGGAACTGACATTACATGTGTTCTGCAAGTTTAGAACAATCTGTTATGAATGATTTTTCTAAGCTAATGGAATGACTCTGCATAAGTGTGCTTGACCTTTATAGATATTTTTAAAACTGAGGGTAAGTTTTTTAATTTTGCTGTTTTGTTGATAAGGTACTGGGAGGAAAGGTGGAAATGGCTTAGAGCACTTGGATTGAAAAACAATCAAAGATGTTACTTTGCCTTCCTGATTAGTGCACATCTGCCTTTTGGTTTTTCAGCTGACATTAGGGGTAAAGGCTATTCTAAGGAAAACAGGGATAGTTCAGAATTGCATACAGCAAAAATAGTCCTGTGCTAATCAGATTGCTTATTTGAGGGTTCAAATTGGAGCCAAGTTATTTGTTAGGCTTCTGTGCATTCCTCATCATTTCTTCTTGCTCCCACTTCCCTGACTTCCTGTTCAATTTAATACATAATGGGTCAGATCATATATATGTGTGTGTGTATCTCAGATTCTGTCAAAGGGATTATTTTGCAACATGTTTCCACAGACATTTTTCTATTCTATGTGGTGCTTGATGGTTATGTGTCTTTGAATCCCTCCATGTAAAGTAAAGAACTGTAGTCTGATGCCCTGCCAAGCCTCTTGGACTGCAGCTCTCTTGCTCCGTTATACTATAAAGGCGTGAACTGTGAGCACGGTTTCAAGTATGCTGAGTCAGCATGACTGGCTCAATACTGCCGTCCAGGACCCCGGCTGCCAGGCTATTTTTAAATGTGGTTTCATCCTACTCTGGCTCCACCCAGGGTTGATAATACCCCCTCCCCTGCCGTTTCCCTTTAAGTTCAGTAGAGTGGCATGGGGCTGGCAGGGACAGAGGTGGTTAGGGACTCCCGTAAGCCCTTCAGCTTGGTCCATTGCTGTGCTGAGCACATCAGGATCAGTTCCAGCAGGGAGCCCTGCCCACTTCTCCTGTCTTGGCTGCTGAGCTTAATAAATGGGTCTCTGTGAATGAATACTCTGAAACTTCGGTTTGTGACCTCTGGCCCTTCTCTTTCTTGCAGAATCTGATTGTGAAGGCTTGCATGTTATGACGACCCCCAACAAAGGAAACAAAGCCTTGAAGGTAATGGGGCAAAACAGGGACCTAGCTGTGTGTGTACACTCTTCCAGACTGTCAGTGATGCATGTCTTCCTCCCTGTCCTCACAGGTGAAGCGGGAGCCAGGTGAGAATGGGACCAGCTTGACAGATGAAGAGCTGGTGACCATGTCTGTGCGGGAGCTGAACCAGCATTTGCGGGGCTTGTCTAAGGAGGAGATCATCCAGCTCAAGCAACGCCGGCGGACCCTGAAGAATCGGGGCTACGCTGCCAGCTGCCGTGTCAAGAGAGTGACACAGAAGGAGGAGCTGGAGAAGCAGAAGGCAGAACTTCAGCAGGAGGTGGAGAAGCTGGCTTCAGAGAACGCCAGCATGAAAATGGAACTTGATGCCCTGCGCTCCAAGTACGAGGCACTGCAGAACTTCGCCCGGACCGTGGCCCGGAGCCCCGTCACCCCGGCTCGGGGCCCGCTTGCTTCCAGCATGGGGCCCCTCATGCCTGGCAAGGTTGCCACCACCAGCGTCATCACGATAGTGAAGTCTAAAACGGACGCCCGGTCTTAGTAAAACGAGCACTGCTTGGGCTTGTGTGTGCAGGGCAGTTAGGCACAAAGCTCGTCCAGAGTCCCCAAAGCACAACCCTCTCCCAGATGGCCTAGCCCACACAGGCACATGCTGGCCTGCTTGTCACTGCGGTCCCTTTGTTTTTAGCTTTGTTCTGATTGGTGTGACTGATGGTAATGCAGCCCTTCTGTTTGAGCAGAACCTCCCGCCCAAGGGATTCTGGGAAGAGACTGAAGGACCTCAGTACTCTAGCCAAAGAAATTCTCAGCAGCTTGGGATAAATTCTTGGGGAGGAATAACCCAAAGTGGGGAGGGTAGAGGTCATAGGAAGCTGGAAGACCTGCCATCAGTGTTTACTCGATACCATTCTTCCAGGGTTGTGTGTCAGCTGTCCAGTCTGCTGCTTGTAAATTGCTTGGTATCAGTGACTATAATGGGAGTAGTTTGTGTAACCATTTTTATATTAACATCTAGTTGCGCCTTTTATGTTGAAAGGTGGGATTCCTCAGGACTTTTCCTGAAGGGTGAGGGAAGGGGCGCAAATTGCAGTTCCTGGTGTCTGTCCTGCAGAGAAGTGAAAGGAGCCAGGGATGGGCACCGCTGGGACCTCCTGTCTGGAGGAAGGCAAGCTGTACCACGGTGACTGCAGGCCGGTTTTGTGCCTAATTGTTGCACTGAACAAGACCAAAATCACTAGTTGTTTCCTGTGTTTGGAGAGTATCAAGTGTCTCTAGTGTGATGGTTTACACAACCAGTTTATGTGGTTTAAATAGCCCTTTATTTATGAGAGAAACGTTATTAAATGATCTAAGTTTTAAAACGCAAACTGGATGAAGAACTTGTGTTAGTCTCCTTTTTAACCCGAGAGGGTGAGGATACATAGTTGTCATATTCTTGGAGACTTTGCTAGCTCAGAAAAAAGCAAATTTTAAAAGTTTCTCGCTACGTCTTTGTGGCTCTGAGGTTGGTTTTTATAAAGAGTTATCAGACTTTTATTTATAAATAATGTCAAGAAAAAAAAAAAGGCTAGTCCTGTTTGATATCTTTTTGCAATTGTACCAAAAGTGACTTATTCTTGAACTCCTCACACGCTTCTTTTGTGCTCCTGTTGTGTTTAGTTGTCTGTGCTCTGAGGTCTTGTGTGACGCTGTGATGTGATGGTGCCAATGGCCATCTTTGCTGTGTGAGTGTCCTGTGAGCATTCTTCTTTGCTTTCTCTGGGCTGAGTGCAGGGCTTCCTGGGGCATTTCACAGTACATCTTCCGAAGCCTCCTGTCTTGTTAGAAGATTACTCATGTCTAAAGGCATTGCTATTTATCTCCTGAAATGTGAGGGGAGAGGGGTTATCTATTCCTTAGCATATTACTAAAACTTGCTTATGATAGCTGGTGGACAGTGTTCCATTTTTCTGTGTCACATGTGTGCCAGTCCCCAAAGTTTAATTTCCTGCTGGTCCTGGGTGTCTCAAAAGATCAGCAATGTTGTAACAAAAGAGCCAAGAGACAACTGCTAATTACACAGGAATTTGAAGGAATTAGTGAAACTGACAGAGTGTCTTAGAATAGGTAAACAGAGTCAGCATTTCCCAGGTTTGGACTATAATAGAATCAGTGAAGCTTCACTTTTCGGGTAAGATGCTTTTGCTGTTGATGGTGCAAACATTTTCTCATCCCTTCATTGTTATTTGCTATTGCTGAGCTTGCTGGGAATCACTTGGAGAACTGAGCCGGAAATATTTTAAGGGCCACCAAGTATGTGGTGGCCAACGTGGCCCAGGAAAGTCCAGCTGTCCTGTATATGTTATAGAGAGGCTTAGAGACTCATATTGCAAAACTGTTTTCAATAACAGCCCTGATAGCCTCTAGGAGCCAGTCAGCAAGTCATTTCTTTCAACACAGAAGGAAGATAATTGCCCTGCCTTCTGTATTGCTGCCCAAAAGTGGCTGGTCCATGGGGATGAGGTGGCAGCCTTGCAGTGAAGAAGCATCCCTTGTAAACCTGGCAAGACATACATTTTAGAAAGTCACCCAAAGTATTCATTTAATTCCTGATACTTTGCTTAGAAAAATCTGCTTTTCAGAGTGTGCATAGTTACTGGCGGCTGGGGAATTTACAGAAAACAGATTTAGAACCCTTGACATAGCTTGTATAAGAAATGTGTATATATATTTAATAGCAGGCAGCGGTGCCTCATCTGTGATGACTTGCCAAGAGAATCTAGATGCTTGCACCACTGGGGAGTATATCAACTGGTATCTTTTCCAGATTCTGAAAGGCCTCAGTTTATATTGCAATAGCATCTAGGTCTCATGGTGAGTAGGGTTGTCAGGTTCAGACAATCTGGAAGTCTGAATTCCTACACTGCAGCAGATTTTTCTCAAAAAAGGCACCTTCATTCTCAGCTTCTCTTAAGTTATTTTCCTGACATTCACTTGCTGCAAGTTTTTCAACGTATGAGGTAAACTACAGGCAAGGAAGAAGGAAAGCTTTAAATAAGGGTCTGCTATCAATTCCTCTTCCTGATGTCTGTCAGAGCTTCCTCACCTCTGTGACCTCATTGCAAGGAACTCAGTGCTGCTGCAAACTTACCACTTGAAAGGGACCGACTGATCCCTGCTAAACTCATACTGGTTCTTTTAACAATCCTTTATCTCATAGCACATTGGGATATTTTTCTATTACTCTTTGATCATAAGGATGGCTAATATGAAAAGAACAAAAGAAAAAGAGGGAAAGGGGTAGATATTTTTACAAGCTTTGATTTAGACACAGCAGTTAATTTGGTTGTCATTCCCACAAAAATAACACTTTGCCCATTATGAGAAATTGAAAGAATCTTAGGAAATATTTTTAAAATCAGCCATAAATGTGCTTCTCAAACCATAATAGCGAAAATTCTGGATTGAGAAGAATATTTGCAATTCAGAACTTATTCCACACTATCCTTGTGCATTTAGCATGCAGCTTTGTATGTTTTTTTAAAAAAAGCTTAGGAATTTTGTGCAGAAATAGTCCTCAACTACAGCATTGTCAAGGATGAAAACAGAAATATGACATGCAGATATATTAAATGTTTCATGCATAACAACAGTATGGGTTTAGTTCTGCATGGAATGAGACATGAACTGTGAAATGTTCAATAACTGCTGTTTTCAAATACATTCTTGCAGGGGGCAGAAAATTGCTAAAATTACATCCCCTGTTCTGTAATTCAGTTTTAGAAGGAATTGATATGAAGCTGCTATTCCAGACACAGTAGTGGTTACTGGCAAGCCAGGAATGTCATATTTTCCATTGGGATGTTGCAACTACACTGGGCCAGTAAAGGTCTGAGGAGGCCACAAGGGTTTGTTTTTCACTCCTGATTTAGAAGGCGTTGTGTAGGATTGCTGAGGCCAGAACTTTTCAATTTTGTTGTCTCATTTTCCTCTACCTCTCCCCTCATCTTTCCCTCCTTTCCGAAGCTGTGTATACTTTCCTTTCTTCATTGCCTTCCACTCTCTTCTCCTTGCCAAAGAAATCCAAATTCTTGGAAAACCAAACCATTGTGATCTGCATAAGCAATATTTACACACCTCTTAAGCTTGCAGACCACAGTAGCATGCAACTTGGGTTTTTCAGTGAAGTCACCAAATGAGAGGCAGATACAGAAATGATATTTTTGGCCACCTAATCATATCTTAGGTTTTGAAGTTTCATGAAAAGCACTTCTGTGGCCTGAACTGCTAGATTTTCTGTGGCCTGAACTGCTAGATTGTTAGAATCTTCCAATACCCAGGGAGACCTTTCTCACTTTCTCTTGCCCATGTTCAGCTTGTCTCTTCTTTGTGTTTCTGAGTCCTCCTGCTCCTAGGTGCCGCCCTCAATAAATGATAGCTGTCTGGCCTCGAAAACGTGTAGATTCTTTGGTTGTGACATTTGGCAGTTTTAGTCTTCAAGGTCATTTTAATTGACTTCTTTTTAAAAAGTGAAATGAATGCATCAACAAACCACCAATAATTGCTTAGTTTTTAACCATCCAAGGTCCTTTAATGTTTTGAAGTTCTTTCATGATTTAACATTGTTAATGTTTCCAAATTCTGATGCTTGTTCCATACCTTGATATTCAGATAAAGCTTGAATAATAATATGGTAAAGCAGAGACTGTCTTTCGGGAATGTAGGTTTCTTTTCAGCAGAACAAGCAGTTCAGCAGCCTTGGTTAGCTTCTTTGAATCTAAAACCTTTATGATCACATCATTTGACATAGTGTGAACCTATCATAAGGGTTTCTTGGCAAAAATTGTTTCTTGGCAAAAAAAAGAGAGGAGAGTTTGCCTTTGCTTTCTTGTGAGCCCGAGAGAGTGAGACTTGCCTAACGTCACTTAGTGATTCTCCATGGCACCTCAGTGGCTTTTATGAGCTTGCCAGTGGATGTCATCCTGACCATTTCCCATTTGATAGTTCTTCCCTGGAGTCAACTGTGCTTCCATTGCTGCTTACTCTGATTGGGTCTCTCCTTTTCCTTGAAGAGTATGAGGAGTCTCTGATTAAAGGCACCATTGTAGAGCATTAGCCATGTTAGACAAAAATGACAGAATCTGTGCCATCTGAAGGATTGACACACTTATTCAACAGATGCATCAGGTGGTATTCTACACCATGTGATGGTGGAAGAGCATTTTTTTGGAAAGGAATGGCAAGATTTACCAACAATAGTAATTACATTAAAGCTGAGGTCCATTTAAATTATTACAGTGAGCATTTGCAAAGCAATATTAATAATAACATAAACATCTTAACATTAGTATTTTTGTTACCATCAATACCACTTGGTGACAGTTAATAAAACTATCATGGTTTGTACTTCTAGCTATTCATTTCTTCTCAACTATTCCTCCTTCCCTGTCCTATGTTGGATCATCCTTGAACTGGTGATCATTTCTTTTTCTTTTTCCTCCAGACTTGTGCATGTTTGCCCTTCTTGGGGTCTAAGAAGAGAAAAGTTATCTTTGTCTGTGTCTCTGGGATATTCCAGGTGCTTATCCTTGTATACAGTGGGGTGTATGTTGGGCACCCATTGGCAGCAGAGTGCTTGAAGGACTGAAATTTAAATGGTGAATCTTCCAACACCCAGGGAGACCTTTCTCACTTTCTCTTGCCCATGTTCAACGTGTCTCTTCTTTGTGTTTCTGAGTCCTCCCTCTCCTAGGTGCCGCCCTCAAGCCCTTCCCCTTGATTTATCTTTCTGGTATATAGCATTCAGAGTGTGATGGTTCTTGTTTTCAAGGTGCTTGTTTGTTTGGTTTTCCTGCTGTGAAAGGTAATGTGTTTTTATTTCTCCTTTGTTATGGGGCATTTTGTTTAATGCGGCCAATGGCGAGCTTTGCTTTCTACTTGGCTGTAGAGCAGATCCGTGAAGTATAATTCCGCCCACATGTGGCTGGCTTGTGGCTCGGGAGCGGGTGGGGGAGGAGGGTTGTTTATGTCGTAGTGGATTGTGTAAAAGTGATCTCTTGGATTATGAAACAATTGTGTCTCTCCAGAAGGAAAGAGATAAAATGAGGGACTGCAGGCTAGGAATGGAGGCATTTGGTATTCGGGCATAGAGGGAGGTTTGATGGGTGAGTTCTCAGTTGGATGAGTAAGTATGTGTGAGGGTTCCTGCAGGTAAGACACTACATCTCTTGTTTTCCTTGGGACAGTGGTGTTACTTTCTGGTATCTCTTGTGCACTTGGCAGGATGACAACTCATTATATGCCACCTGAGAATAGAATTGGCATTCCTGTATACTGGTGGCTTACTCAGAATTGTAGCCAACTTCTAGCAGTTCCTCGCTTTCTCTGCCACTAACAGATGAAAGTACTTGCTGACATTTTCTTGATGTCTCAAGCTGTATTTTGTTAGTTAAAAAATGCTAATACAGAAAAATGGTTTTTTTTTTCAATTTGATAACATTGCTGCTTCCTATGATAAAGCAGTGGGTGGCTGCTACAACAGAGTATTGTCTCTGCCCGTGTAGAAGGACTGGAAGACATTCTCAGAGCACTCGTACTTGTAACCTCAAACAGGTTCTTTTAACTGGTGAGGATTTATATGCCCTTTGTCTCCCATTATCTGGTATGTACAAACTCTTGATTCTTGTGGCTAATAAGAATCACAGTGTGGCTGAGTGCATAGTCCCATTCCTAATCAAAATACTTCCTTTCTTGGACAAGGGTAAAGTGGTTTCAAACCAAACTCTACTTGTCCTTGTCCTCACTTGTAGTTTGTTCTGCATTACACCCTTTGCCAAACTGGAATTTTACACAGAAACAAGAGAAATTATGATATTCAGAGCACTTAATGAGATGGACTGATGCCTGTTCCTGTCCTCCAACCTGCAGATGCTAAGGGTAGTCCTTACAAGATATTAATTGAAATGAATTCACTGCTGCTTTAAAATATTTCTTAAATGGGAAAGGAATATTTTAATTTAAAAAATCTCAGTCTCCAAAGCTAATAAAATTGGAGATTAATAGAGATTAATTATGTGCCAGGGGTGTAATTGCATATTGTCAAGTCCTGGGGTTCTACTGTACAACAGGAGAGCCCAATTAATCAGTATTTATTGCTAAATTATTGTCCTTTTTCAATCTGTAGATATCTGATAACTGTTGGGGTTTTGTTGCCACAGCCCCAGTGGAGGTGTTGTTAATTTATTTATGTATATAGTGTATGTTTGTTGATATGAAGCATTCTTTATTTTGTATATGACCAATAAACATCTTTAAAGAGGCTGGTCCTTATGAAATTACTAATTGGGTTTGGGCTGGCAGACTTGTTTTCTACTATAAGCTGAATCCCTAAGACTTAGCTATTTGTATACGATCAGTGTACAGGGAATCTCCACTTACCTGCTAAGTTAGGGACCAGAGCACTGTCAGAAAAGTGGAGTTGCTTGAAAAGTGGAGCCCAGGTTATTTTGGTTTGCAAAGCATTTTGGCCACTGAAAAACTTAAACAACACATCCAGAAGAGTTTCTGCACACATCCAAAAGTTATTAAAGGAGTTGTGCATCAATAATAAAACATACGAGTATAAAAAGCAATTAATAAAATAATGATTAAACATTGTTTTTTCATAAAATAGTCCATTCATGAAATAGATGGTAACAACACTAAAACATCTGCACTAGGAAGTCTCTACATGCACCAAAAATAAAAAAAAACGGTTGGCATTCGTCTAGTATCAGCGTTCAGAGCCAGCATTCTGAAAATCCTGTTTTGAACAATCTGAAGTGGACCATGATGGTCTTTCCAGATGAATTCAAAGACCTAACTGTGTGAGATACTCATATTCCATGTTGCAGAAAGCTTTATAAACTGTTAACAAAACCTAAACATCCTGGTATCAAAGAGGCAGCCAATGCAAAAGCAAAGTATTCTGCACTGGCTGCAGCTCCAGACCAAGTTTAAGAGTAGCTTCATGTGGAGCTTAGGTTACCAATGTCAAGACCACTACCATCAGGCTAATTTGGTCTGGCTGAAGCCAGAGCATACCAGCTGATGGTGATAGAAGGATTACAGTGACAAAGGTGAAACACTTTTCACAATATTGGATTTCCATTTCAGGTATTGCATCTCTCAGCAAATTATACGTTATGCTTTGTACCTGATAAATAGGATGTTCTTTCTTCAGTTTTGTCTGCTACCTAGAATTGAATTGGCCTCTCTATTGATGTCCAATAACTCTCCTGTATACTTCGTTGTGTTCTAAAAGAACATTTTGGTCTCATTGCCTTTGCATTTTTAAAGAGAAATCTAGGCTGGTTTTGTAGCCTTCGAGTATCTAATGCCTGTTTTTAGTTTGACAGAACAAAAATAGTGCAACAACATTTGCCCTACTAATACAAGGTGCTGTGCTGCCAGTGCTGAATTTAGGCCAATAATGTAATTTAAGTGGTGTGGAAGGGCAGTTGGGTCTTGTGTGAATGTGTACATTTCTTCACTGCAGAGGTCTAAGAAGACGAAGCACAACCACAGATATACTGTATCCCAGTAGTGCTATAGATGATTATGCTTTCTCATTCCCACCAACTGAGCTTGAGATGAGACTGAAAGAAGGGCCTCTCCTGAAGATCCCAATATGGGATGCGGTCAGCCAAATATCCTAGACCTGAACCGTCTAGGACTTTAAAGGTCATAACCAGCCTTTGAATTGTGCCTGGAAACAGACTGGCAGCCAGTGGAGCTGCTGCAACGGGAATTATCTGCTCTCTGTAGGCAGCCCCAGTGAGCGGCCTGGCTGCAGCTCTTTGGACCAGATGAAGTTTCTGAGCATTCTTCAGAGGCAGCCCCATGTAGAGGGCGTTACAGTAATCCAGACGGGATGTAACCAAGGTGTGTATCATGGTGGCCAGATCTGGCTTCTCCTGGCACAGGTGCAGTTGACACACAAGTTTTAATTGAGAAAAGGTCCTCCTAGCCATCGCAGATACCTGGGCCTCCAGGTTCAGTGCAGAGTCCAGGAGGACCCCCAAACTGCAGACCTGAGTCTTCAAGGGGACTGTGACCCCATCCAGCACAGGCTGGATCCATATTCCCTGATATGCCTTTCCACTGACCGGGACTACCTCTGTCTTGTCTGTATTAAGTTTCAGTTTGTTTGCCCTCATTCAGTCCCTTACTGATGACAGGCACTGGTTTAGGGTCAGAACAGCTTCCTTGGCATTAGGTGGAAAGGAGTAGTAGAGTTGGGCGATATCTGCATACTGGTGGCACCAAACTCCAAAACTCTGGGTGACCTCTCCCAGCGGTTTCATGTATATGTTCAACACCATGTGGGACAAAATGGAAACCAGATAACACGCAGTACATGTTAAAATTCCCTTTTCTACATAATAATTAAAAGCCCGGTAGCCACTCTGGCAATGGCCACACAAACCACAGAAGAGAGTGTTGCACATAGCTGTCTCTTCTTATCCAGCTAAGAAAAATGTATAAGGAACACCTAGGCCCCATCTACACGGGCTGTTAAGTGTAGTTTCAAAGTGGTATTGAAGAAAGTGGTTTTGCTGTGCAGATGATTACAGAGGAAGCCCTGGAACCAGTTTGCGGCCTGGAAGGTGATAGTACAAACCACAGAGCACTGGTGCACAATGGGAGCTTTCCTTTGCATGTTTTGGTGAAAACTTACCACCTGGCCACAGCAGTTTGAAGCTAGCGTTGAACTACATTAAATAGTTGGTAGACAGGAACATAGTGATCTTCCCTGCTCATATATATATATATAGAGGGAGAGATAGATAGATACAGTAGAGTCCTGCTTATCCAACCTTCACTCATCCAACGTTCTGTATTATCCAATGCAGTCTGTGTCCTGCCTCCACCCACAGCTGTTTTAATACACTGCAATGTTTTGGTGCTAAATTTGTAAATACAGTAATTACTACATAACGTTGCTGTGTATTGAACTGCTTTTTTGTTGATTTGTTGTAAAACGTGATGTTTTGGTGCTTAATTTGTAAAATCATAATGTCATTTGACGTTTAATAGGCTTTTCCTTAATCCCTCATTTATTTATTTTATTGTGTCAGGAGCGAACCAAACAGTTGTCTTACATTAAAACAAAGAAACAAAACATAAAATTTGCAAACTTTTATTAAATGTCCTTTGACCAGTAGCTGGCCACTTGGAGTGCCTCTGATGTTGCTATAAGAAGGTCCTCCATTGTGCATGTGGCAGGGCTCAGGCTGCATTGCAGTAGGTGGTCTGCTGTGGTTTGCTCTTCTCCACACTCCCATGTCGTGGATTCCACTTGCCTCAAAGCACATGTTTTTTTGGTGCTTAATTTGTAAAATCACAATGTAATTTGATGTTTAATAGGCTTTTCCTTAACCCCTCCTCCTTATTATCCAACATTTTCACTTATACAGTGTTCTGTGGATAAGCGAGACACTACTGTGTGTGTATACACACACACACATGTAAGTTAAAATATGTATGTGTGTATATATGTGTGTATATGTACACCCTGTCCCCTAGGGCAGAGTACAAATAAAGTATTATTATTATTATTATTATTATTATTATTATTATTAGAAGCAGAACAAGATGAGTCAACAGCAGAGATCATTCTGCTGGTTGTTGAATTGGATCACACGTCGGACACTTCTGGCGTGTCTAGGACTGTGTGATGTATCGGTGAATAATGTGTGCAGATCCCAGTAAGGTTCCCTTTTGTGGCAGGCAGATGGTAATTTTGTCAGTGCTAATTGTGTTTAAGTGCAGGCCAAGGTCTTTAGGCACTGCACCCAGTGTGTCAATCATCACTGGGACCACCTTGACTAGCTTGTGCCACAGTCTTTACAGTTCGATTTATTATTATTATTATTATTATTATTATTATTATTATTATTATTATTATTACTACATATTACGTGCAGCACTAAAGAGCCCAGGAATGCCCAAGACAGGTTCCCCTTGAGCTCTCCACTGTGAATAATACTTTTCCGGTGGTGTATCTAGACTGTAGAATGAATGCAGTTTGACACTGCTCTAACTGCCATAGCTCCATGCTCTAGAAGAATGCGGGGAGTGGCGGGTCTTTCTCGGCCAGAGTGCGGGGCTGGGGCGGGGAGGGGGCGAGGCGGGCCAGTGGGCGGAGAGCGAGAAGCCTCCTCCGGGCGTCACAGAGAGGCGGCTGTCGCGCGAGCATTCTCTTCCTCGGCCGCCTTACGGTGGAAGCGCCATTCGACATTAGAGAAGCAACGCCGTTCCCCTTTTGGACCGGAAGCGCCTCTGAGGACTGAGCAAAGACTACTCCAGCAGCCTGTGTGTCTGCTCTAGGAGACCGGAAGCGGAAGTAGCGGGAACAGCCGCCGAGGCCGGCTGGCACCCGGAAGCGCCCGGGTTGATGGCGGCTGGTCGGAGTTTGAGCCGCTCCGAACGGAAAGCGGCGGCTCGGGCCGAGTTCCTCCGACAGGAAGAACAGCGGGAGCGGCGCAGACAGGTACAGCGGGGAGTGCCACTGAGGTACGAGGCCGGAGGGCAGAGGAGGAGGAGGGGGAGCGGGCACACGCCCCCTTCCCAGAGCGGGCCTTGTGCCCAACTGCCCGTGGTTCTGCCCGTCGTGCCGCTTTGTGCTGTGTGAAGAGGGGCGTATTTTACCAGTCCTCAATCTTCTGCCATTCTGCTTCAGTGTGACGTGAGAAGGGAAAGAGTGTCTTTCACTCTCTTTTCTGACCACCTAACCGTTATAGCTCCCCTTGCTGTCTCAATGTTACAGTCTTTGTTGTGTGTCTTTAAATAATTTTAATTCTTCACGATCCTGAGGTGGACCTTGTTCAGAGGGGCTTTGCCTTTGCTTGCCTCTGAGGCTGAGAGAGTGTGACTTGCCCAAGGTTTCCCTGGCCAAGCAAGGAACCAGATCCTGGTCTCGCAGTGCCTCCGGCTGGTTCTACACTGCCATATAATACAGTTTGAACGGCATTGTATGGTCGGCGTAGAGCCATATACTGCATTTCAGTGCAGTTCAAACTGTGTTATATGGCACAGTAGAACCAGCCTCGGTCCATCACTCCACTCATAACCAAAACTAGTTCTTCAAAACCTTCCTGGTTTGTAAGCAGTGTTCTCAAATATTTCAGCATTGATACTGGCTAGTTCAGGGCTTATAGCTAAGTGTGCTTAGCAGCAAGAATCATCCCTAAGGCCTCCTTTATGTAACAAGTTCTTATTAGAGTACACTCGCCTTTTAATACTTAATTGAAGAGTAATTTTAAAAATTGTGTGTAGGTGTTTGTAAGCAATTCTATTCAGTTATTTCTTGTTGATGCATAATGAAACAGTCCTCTGTTTCCTCAGAAATAAAGCCCACTAAATTATTCCCAAGCAAGTGTGTACATTGGGCCCTTGGTGTTTGATGTTTTGTCTTATGTGTTTGTGTTTATATGTTGGGTTGTTTAAATTTTGTCAATATAGATGCAGTTGTTGTTGTATTCGGGCATTGAATGTTTGCCTTTTATGTTTGGAATCTACCCTCCCTTTGGGGAGATATAACAGAATATAAATAAAGTATTATTATTATTATTATTATTATTATTATTATTATTATTATTATTATTATTATTGGTGTCCAGTTGTGTTTGATTCCAGGACCCCTGTGGATCCCAAAATTCATGGGATGCGCAACTCTCGTTATACACAAAATGGCATTCCTTATATAAAATGCTGAACAACTCAAAGTGATTTCTAGAAGTGTTCCCCACTCACCCCCAAATATTTTCAAGCCATGGTTGATTCGACTCTATGGATGTCATGGGCAGACTGTATAGAATTTTAGTTTCAGACTAACTACACACTCTACCCAGGATTTGTTGAGCTATTTCCACTCATGGGATGGCTTCTAATGAAAGTGTCCAGACACTTATCTTTTTGTTTAATCATAGGTGTCGCAAATTCTCCATAAGCCAGCCGCAGAAAGGAGCGCTGATGAGACTCTCTTTCTATCTGAGTGTCAAGAGATCGTACGAGATCTGGAACGGCTTCGCAAGAAACGTGAGCGATTGCAACACCGGCTGGAGGAAGTATGTATCCCTCTTATTTTACTACTATTAAGTATGTGCTTAGTATCTAAACCACTTACCACATCTTAAATGATGTAGCTGTGGTCAATAGAAGAGGAGAAAGAACGAGTTGCATACCTGTATGTTTCTTTGAGCGGTGATCTGCGAAATTCGCACATCTGGGTTTGTCCGCACATGCATGGTGCAATTCAGAACCTTCTAGATTTCTAAAATGAAACATTTTGGTGATAGCCCTGCCCACTCTCCCCATAGAGTGCAAGTATCCCAGGGCAGGGCTGAGCCTCCCATCCGCTAGACCAGCAGCTAAGGAGAAGGAGCATGCTAACAGCAGGGAAGATGGGCAGGAATGTGCGAATTTCACAGATCACTACTTGAAGAAACACGGTTACAAGTGAGCAACTCATCCTTTTTCGTAGTGTCTGTGAAATCACACATATGGGTGATTGGCAAGCTACTCCCCAAGGAAGGCAGGATCATGCCAGTGAAGGGAGAAGTACAGCTTTGCCAAAGGCCGCTTCCTTTATGTGCAAGGCATCTGGTGTGTAATGGCTGGCGAACCTGAGTGGAGTGGACCACGTCACCACCCGGCAGATGTCCTCTAGAGGGACTCCATGCAAAAAGGCTTGCAATGCAGCCATCACCCTGACTTGAGTGAGCCTTGACTTGCTATGGTTGACAACCAGCGAATCGACAAGGCAGACAAATCGTTGTCATGATCCAAGAGGAAAGACATTGCAAGGTGATTGGTTGGCTCAAAGCATGGCTGCGATACTTGAGAAATAATCTTGGTGATTTTCTGTGTGACGGTGTCCTATGGACATAGAAAACCAACAGTCTCCTCACATCCAAGGAATGAAGGGCCACTTCCAAGGCTGAAGAGTGATTTGGAAAGAACGCTGGCAAGATGATGTCTTGGCACATATGGAAGTGGGAGACCACTTTTGGTAAATAGGTAATGTCCGTGCGAAGGACCACCTTGTCTTTGTGGAGATGAAGATGAGGTGGAGCTGCTTGCAATGCACACAGTTCGCAAGCACATCTAGCTGAAGTAATTGTGACCAGGAATGCCATCTTCCATGAAAGGAAGTTAGCTCAAATGGCAGCTTGGAGAGTTGGGGTAGAACCAGTTCCAGATTCCATGTCAGGAGTGGGGGTGTGACTGGTAGATGTATATTCTTGTCACCCTTGAGGAAGAGCTGAATAAGGATGTCCAGAAAACAGGAAATTTTCCTGGCTTTCTTGCGGTACCAGGAAATTGCTGCAAGGCAGCATTTGAGGGAGCGGAGAGAAAATCCTCTTGCTAACAGATGGACTAAGAAGTCTAAGACTGCTGGCGTAGGAGCAGTGATGGGGTCAAGACCCCACTGGCCGAGAAAGGAAACAAAACTTGACCACTTACAGGCATATGATTTTGTCTTTAGCTCCTGGTCATGAGGTGTTTTAGCCTTTTTGGCCTTCTGTGCGCCTCCTTTGTCTTCCCCAATGTTGCTTGGAGTGAGGTATTTTTGCCCGTTTTACCATTGATGCAGTGGGCACTGGCGAGTGCTCCCGTGGTAGGCCTGGCAAGGTCTTTCTGCCACGCCTGCTCCTCTGGAGTGCTGGAGAAGGGGGAATGCCCACCATCTCGAGCCATTGAGCCCTTGCTGGTGCAGAGCTCCAAAGCTGGGTGCGGAGTGAGAGCCTTTTCGTAAAGGAGCGTCCGCAAGCAGGTCTCCCTATGTCGCCATGCCTGGGGGTAAAGGCCTGGCAGATGGCACAAGTCTGGGTGACATGTCCTCCCCCAGGCAAAGTAAACACTTGATGTGGCCATCTGTTTCAGAGGATGGCCACATCCCACAGACAGAGCAAGATTTAAAGAGAAGGGCAGAGGCCATAATGGTGACTAGCTTGTTGTTTGTGTCCGACCTGAGTAGTAGGGCGGAGAAGAGCAAGGTAAGTCTGATATTCAGTCCAAGGTAGAGGAAGGGAGAAAGGCAGCGAGTCCATTAGAATCTGAGTCAAAAAAAGTTAGGAAAGGCAACAAGTAGCAATATACAGCACAATAGCACAAAGCAAAGCACAGAGAAAGAGGTTTCTAGCTGCCGTCAATGATGGAAAAAAGGAACCGAGGCTCAGCCCTGCCCACAGGGAGAGTGGGTGGGACTACTACCAAAATGTTTCATTTTAGAGATCTAGAAGGTTTCAAACTGTACTGCGCATGCACAGACAAACTCATATTTGTGATTTTACAGTCACCACAAGAAAAAACAAGTTGTGAAGAACGTTGCTACGATTGGGAGTTTATATGCTTCAAAGCAGTCTATAGAAATACCCAATTCAGTATGTTCAGTGTTCCTTATTCTTACATTTTTCCCCCCTTCACTGGTTTGAAATTATTCATTTCCCCTATTCCTACGGTTCTGGGTTCCCTCACAAAATTTTCAGGATAGGGACAAAAGAAAAGAGTGGTGAGAAGTTAAATGGACATGGATGAGTTTTTGTCAGGTGAGGAAGCTATTAGAATGATATGGGATGCAACTGAAATATGATATATTGCAACTGAAATATAATACTCAAATTATTTTACTTCTAGATTTGTGATGAACCTGAAGAGTTGAAAAGAAAAGTCAGCAAGCTCGCCCAAGTTGTACGTGGAGCTAAACATCTCATCATATATACAGGAGCTGGCATCAGTACAGTAAGGTTATGTTAATTGTTTATCTAAGATTGTCTGAGACAAAAATAGAGAATACATTTTTAAAAACTTAGGTTGCCCATTGTCAATGTTATGTATTGTTTTCTCACCAACAAGGACAACTTGCAATACAGGTTACAGCATCTCTGAAAGCACTGTTAAACGATTTTCTGGTTACTGTTGTGCACTGTGATAGCTTACCTTTTATTATGCAAGGTAGCATGTGAATACCGTTTGAAAGAGATTAAGATAAAGATATTGTGTTTCAGGTGGCATTACTAGATGACATTTTAAATCATTGTAATGGACATGAATGTTGGGAGTGTCATATTGGGCCTGTCTACACTGACCTACAAAGTGGGCCGGATCTGGTGTCTGGAGCACCGGGTTGGGCTCACTTCATGTGTTTTAGGGACTCCCTGAACTACCCTGGAGGTGATGGGATCCTGATTGCCCAGGCACATCGAACATGATTCAGCACTGCTGGGCAACCACTCTAGCTACAACATCCCAGCTGCCTGAGTCTTTGGGGTATTCTGTCTAATGTCAACCAGAAGTGCTCACTAAAGTGGCCTGAAAGTGGAGGGGGGAAAGCCCCCCCACACACACACCTGCTCAGTCGCTTGACGGCAGCCAGACCACCAACAGAGGGCTTCTTCAACTTTTTACTTAAACCAGATATAAAAATCAAACATTTAGTGAAAACAAGCTAGTATTCGCAAGGCTTACTAAACAGGCTGATTTTCCGTTTTTATGAAGTACAACTGAAGTATTTTCTGTAGAGTCCATTGTAAACACTGTATGTTGTTGCTGACAGGCTCATGTAATGTCTGAAATATACACTAGGTGGTGTTCAGAAACACTTTGCTGTTGCCAGTTTTTTGTGACCCAACACAAAAAAATTGTGACCCCTGGTGACAGCCACATCAAATAGAGGGTGTCTAGAGAGGACTGCCACCCCATGTCCTTTGGCTGCCTGAGTCCAGGGAAGGATTGTGTGAATCATAGTCCAAAGAAGGGAGAGAATTTTCACCCACTACCTTGCATGTAGGAAAGATTTCATGCTTTATTCCTCCTTTCAGCCCCATGTGCTTGAGAAAAAAGGAGCTAGTTATTAGACATGCCCTTTGGCAAAGATGCTCTGACAGCAGGAGTTACGGAGCTGGTTGAGTCTTCTTTTTCTGAAATACTGTGCAGCTAATCTATCAGTACTGTGTGGGAGGCAGAAGAGCAAGACTTGCCACATGAACACCACATGTTCTTGGCCCTGGGTCAAGAATGCCAAGAAAACTTGGGAATAGTGATTCTTCAAGTACAGGAAAAGCCTAAGGGCATTTGTTGGTCAGGACTCAGCTTAGCATAAATGTGATTGTGGATGCTTGGAAAACAAATGGCTTTGATTTTTTGCAAGTAGTGGTAGAATTTGTACAGAAGGGGAACACCCAAGTAGGGCCTATGGCGGTGGTTCTCAACCTGTGGGTCCCCAGATGTTTTGGCCTACAACTCCCAGAAATCCTAACAGCTAGTAAACTGGCTGGGATTTTTAGGAGTTGTAGGTCAAAACACCTGGGGACCCACAGGTTGAGAATCACTGGTCTATGGGGTTGCCCAAACTTATGGAAAGTGATAGGCAGAAGTACTTGTGATTTTGGGCAAGGCCGTTAATTCCTGAAGTGTCCATCCAGTTGCATAAATTTTCTCTCTCTTGTGACTTCTGGCAACAGGCAGCATCAATTCCTGACTACAGAGGCCCAAATGGGGTGTGGACTATGCTGCAAAAAGGAAGGAGTATCAGGTAACCAGTTTATCTTCTTTCCTCATGTCTTGCGGATTTTGTGGGGAGACTGTTCCAGCCTGAGAGGCTACACCGCAAACATGAAGTTTACTCATATTATTTGTGCTTATCAGGGCTACAGATCTGAGTGAGGCAGAACCTACACTCACCCACATGAGCATTGCCTGCTTGCACAAACACAAACTGGTAAGGCATTTTGTTCTGCACTTCAGGGATTAAGGGAGACAGCTATTGCAAAGGAAAGGGCAGGGCATTGTTGAGGTAGTATGAAAGATATAAGAGAAAAAGGTACTGTGTACATGACTTTTCCTCCCTGACAATTAGTCTTACATTAAATTGCCAGGAAGAATGAAGTACATGGACTTTAAACTGGCAAGAAAGCAAAATATAGTCGCTCTATTGATGCAGCTCACAGTGATTTTGAAAACGACCTTGCCCTTTAAGTCTCCCTGAATATGATTGTCTTCAAAGAGCAGTGTCCTGGTGGTGGGTCTGTAAGAGTCTGTGGAGACCTTTTCTGGATCCACATGGTCTTTCACAGTGAGGATATAGGTTTCCAGTCGCAACAAAGGTTTGCTTAATCGGTCTTCTTCTTGCCACATTTCTTCCTTTTGCCCTCTATTTGTGCCTCCTCAAAATCCATCACTGTTGGTAAATGTATAGTTCAAAGTGATATATTATTTCTAAATATTTCTAGATATAGTTGGTTGGCTAGAACTCAGAGACCGTAATCAGCCATCTAGAGCTAGCATCAATGTATAGTTTTGGTAGAAGCAAAACAGGAAGAAAGGTGGTGCTGGTGGTGGTGGAGATTTTAATTATATAATATGAAAACTTTCCAGGTCATTATCTTGAGTATTGCTAAAAATAATGAAGAAATTCCATGTTTTACTCTCCATTATGCTTTTTTCATTTCAGGTGAAGCATGTGGTGTCACAAAATTGTGATGGTCTCCACTTGCGCAGTGGGCTCCCACGGGAAGCCCTGTCCGAGCTGCATGGAAACATGTACATGGAGGTGAGCATTTGCTGAAAGCCAGGCTTAGGGCATCATGAAATCCAAAGAGTGCTGACAGCCTTTATGCTTGCATCCAAATCTAGGTTTGCATATCCTGTACACCCAACCGTGAATATGTAAGAGTGTTTGATGTGACAGAGCGTACAGCTTTGCATAGGCACCATACTGGCAGAGTATGCCACAAATGTGGGGAACAACTAAGAGATACTATTGTACACTTTGGAGAGAAGGGAATCTTGCAGCAGCCCTTGAACTGGAAGGCAGCCACAGAAGCTGCAAGCAAAGCTGATGTGATCCTTTGTTTGGGGTCTAGCCTGAAGGTAAAGTGAGAATTATTTTTTTTCAATAGATAAATTTTGCACTATCTTTTGGTGAAATTGTGTCATCAATCTTCCTTTCAAAACAGGAATTCCTGCAACACACAGTTTCCCAGTACATTGTTTTCTTTTGTGCAAACTTTGCTGTGTTTCTTAACACTGCATTAATCAAACAACAGACAATTATTTCCTCATAATTTGCTAAGATGGGTAATTGTGACATTGCTAGTTTCTGAGTTCTGGTTATTTGCAAATTATCTGTCTTAGCAAGCACAAAATATCTTATGAGGGCTGAATTTACACAAAATTAGAAGAGTTGTTTTTAGATGTTTGAAATTAAAGCACCTTTATATCCCTATTTTGGACCTATTTTAGTGGTATTGCTTTCTTCTTGCAGGTTTTGAAAAAGTACCCTCATTTGTGGTGCATGAACAAGCCACCCAGGCACCGCCCTAAACTCTACATTGTAAATCTCCAGGTGAGTATAAGCGGTGCCATTTATGAACAGAACAGTTTACTTTGGCATGTTATATAGGTGAATGTGATTATGAGATCATGTGTTTATGAGATCATAAGGGAATGTTAGAAGAATGTATGCAGAAGGTCATGGGCCCAGGCGTATCCAGTGAGAAGAAATAGATTTTGGCTTAAGGGTTAAAAAAGACTATTCTGCTTTTAAACTTGCGAAAGATGTTGTCACTTGAAGTAAGCAGTAATGGGGTACATCAGTCAGAGGTCTAGTCAGCTTTGTATTGCTGTGATACCTTTGTGGTACTTCTGGATTTGGAAACTGGGCAGGATTTATTCACTACATTTTCATTCTTCCTTATTGTCTTCCTTTGCAACTGGTATATAGAGACATAATAATAATAATAATAATAATAATAATTATTATTATTATTATTATTATTATTATTATTATTATTTTATTTGTAACCCGCCCTCTCTCTCAGAAGGGACTCGGGGCAGTTTCTAAACATAAAACATAAAATTGGCAAACATTCAACACTATCAACTCAACATTAATAGAATTATATACATATAAATTAGAACACATTAAAAGACATTGGCTGATAATATAAATCAAACAGTCAGACATCATAGATTATATAGTCAGACAATTTAAACTGTATAAGACATAAAAATGGCTTTTCAATAAATTACAATAAAATATTCAAACTACCTTTGATTCTGAAGGAAAGACGCATAGCCATAAGCAGTAGTCATTGGTGCCCCGATCTTCCATGGATGATAAATAACAAAAGTGCTATCTTTTCGGCAAGGCATAAATGTGCTACTGGTATTCCTGCAGTGGAAAACTCCTGTAGAGCCTAAATTGTATTAATTTGATGTAGTGGGACTATTCATTTAATGCATTGCATTGCAATTCTGTCTGCAGTGGACACCAAAGGATGACTTAGCTGTCCTGAAACTCCATGGGAAATGTGATGATGTGATGAAGTTGCTGATGGAGGAACTAGAACTTCCCATCCCTTCATATGACAGGTCAACAAAAATGTGTTTGGCTCTTGTTGCTACGTGTTGGTTTTTAATTTTCCTCCTTAGCATTTAAGATGCTTGACTTTGCTTACACAATATCTTATGCACCTTGTAATTAAGGCTAACTCTTATGGTGGCAGGGCTCAATTGCAGTTTATCTGAAGGTTGGAAAAGGCACATCAGCTTAGCCCTTTATTACAATCAGGGTGCTGATAAAGTGCTGGGTTTTACATTGGAATATTTTGTATGGCTGGGCTGTTTTTGACAAGGATTTATCTTTATGATTAGGACTCAGAGTAAGGAGCATGTAATCTCCAGTAGTGTTGCAAACTAGTATCACCTAATCATGAATTCCTCTGTAGGTCAAAGGATCCCATATTCTCCTTGGCCGTCCCTCTGCGATCTGAGGAAGAAAGCAGCCATAGCCGGAAGCCTGTGGCCCTAGCAGCAAGCCTCAATGAAGTGCCACTGGGAGAGCAGCAGCAGCAGCAGCAGGAGACACCTGCCGGCCCACTCTCTGGAGGCTGGTTTGGCAGAGGCTGTGCAAAAGGCACCAAAAGGAAAAAACTGTCTTGATCATGGACATTTTTTTAACCTCGGGGACCAACTGAAGTTACTAAAATCAGGACAGAAAATGACATCTGCACTGAAATTGGCCAGAATTGCTGGGCTAACTGGAAAAACCACAGCTGCTATTTTCATAGAGGTTTTATATAATTAGCCTTTAAACAAACAGAGGCCAAAGCTTAGCTTGGTTTCTACTTTCTGATTGATAGGCTGGCATTTGATACTCAGGGATGCCAATTCATAATAATTATTAAAAAAAATATAGAGCAATAAAATGGTTGTGTGCTTTCATCCTCTCCCTCCCCCAAATACAACTATGTTGTTTTGATGTTAAGTACTGCAAGTATCCCTTATAATCCCATGCTCAAAATCCCATTCTCTACGTTTACTTTGGATTTAATAATGCATCTGAGCAGAAGTCTGTTCCTAAACTGAAACTTGAAATGGCAGATCTCTGAAGGTTTTCCTTGTTGACACAAAGTGTAACGTAATACTAGGATTATGGGGTGGAAATAACAGTGGGGGTTACGGTACTCTGTTGACACAGGTGTTTCATGCTACCCCTTTGAGGTAAGCACATTGCCTTATCAGGAACCTGCCCAGATAACATGCTTCACCGAGTTATTTAAAAACAGTTTACTACAAGTCATGAATCCAAAATCCTTCAAAACTGTCCAAAAGGGTGACCGCGATGATGACTCAGTGTATGCAAATGCTGTTTCATGCACAACATATTTACAAAATTTTATAAAATTACTTTTGGACAATGTGTGAGCAGGTAATTTTGGATTGGGCCTTGGGTCTCATAGCCAGGAAATCTCATTAGGCACATACAGGCAAATAGAATCAAAGAGTTGGAAGAGACCTCGTGGGCCATCCAATCCAACCCCCTGCCAAGAAGCAGGAAAATTGCATTCAAAGCATTCCTGACAGATGGCCATCCAGCCTCTGTTTAAAAGCTTCCAAAGAAGGAGCCTCCACAACACTGAGAGTTCCACTGCTGGACGGCTCTCACAGCCAGGAAGCTCTTCCCAATGTTCAGATGGAATCTTCCTTCTTGTAGTTTGAAGCCATTGTCCTGCGTCCTAGTCTCCAGGGCAGCAGAAAACAAGCTTGCTCCCTCCTCCCTATGAATTCCTCTCATGTATTTATACATGGCTATCATGTCTCAGCCTTCCCTTCTTCATGCCCAGCTCTTTAATCTGCTCCTCATAGGGCTTGTTCTCCAGAACCTTGATCATTTTAGTTGCCCTCCTCTGGACACACTCCATCTCTCTTCGACTGTGGTGCCCAGAATTGGACACAATATTCCAGGTGTGGTCTAACCAAGGCAGAATAGAGCATGGGTTGCATGACTTCCCTGGATCTAGACACTATACTGCTATTGATGCAGGCCAAAATCCCATTGGCTTTTTTTGCCGCTGCATCACATTGTTGGCTCATGTTGAACTTGTCCACGAGGACCCCAGGATCTTTTTCACACATACTGCTCTCGAGCCACGCGTCCCCCGTTGTTATCTTTGCTTTTCGTTTTTTCTGCCTAAGTGGAGTATCTTGCATTTGTCCCTGTTGAACTTCATTTTGTTAGTTTTGGCCCATCTCTGTAATCTGTTAAGATCGTTTTGAATAGAGGTCTTCCAACATAGGAAATCCCAAATACTTCTGGTGCTAACCTATAATGTCGTAACTATTTTATTTTTAATACTATATTAATATTTCTATGTTGCCGGTTTAATAACGGGCTAGCCCAGGCACGGGCAAACTTTGGCCCTCCAGATGTTTTGGACTACAACTCCCACAATTCCTAACAGCCTACCGGCTGTTAGGAATTGTGGGAGTTGCAGTCCAAAACACCTGGAGGGCCGAACTTTGCCCATGCCTGGGCTAGACACATATGAAGAGGAAACGCGCCGCGCATGCGCGGTACTAAAGGGAGTGGGTGAAGGCAAAGCATCCACCTGTCAGGAGGCGGTTTGGGTGGGTCGCGGGAGCGCCGGGATTTTCCAGGCAGGGAGAACTGGCAGGTTAGTCCCCCTCGATGTAGCCAGTGCGGAGCCGACAGAAAGAAATGGCGCAATAATAATAGGGAAAGTGGGGGCCCTGTTCCTCGCCTGAGGAGTGCCGGTCACGTGACAGGCACCGAAGATGGCCGCCCTCTCGAGCGCTTCGGCGGTTCCGCGGTCACGTGACGGGGGGCGGGCCCGGCTCCTGACAGCGCCGAGGTCAAGGCAACAGCTGAGAGTCCGGCATTCACTCGCTCGCCATGCTGCGGAACGGAGCCGCCGGAGCCTCTTCCCCTGCCAGCCACGCCGCCACCCGGCCGGTCCGCGTCTGGTGCGACGGATGGTGAGTGCTGAGGGAAGGGGGAGGGGAAGGGGAAGGGGAGGTGAGGCTGCCTCAACGCTTCCATGGCAACCGATGCCTTGCCGTTGAGGGGGAGCGCGCGGCTCGCGTCCCCATGGCAACGCCACCTAGGCCGCGCCTCTTGGGGCGCCTGAGCAGCTCCGCGCTTGCTTTCCCTCAGGGCTCCGTCCCCAGAGTGAGGCACCCCGAGGAGGAGGCTCCGGGAGGGGCTGGCTTGCGTCCATGTGGGAGTTGGGTGTTACCCATCAGCATCTGCTGGAGAGAGAGCCCGAAGCGCCCCCAGCCCGCCACTACGGGGTCCCCAAGCTCTCTGAACCCGTCTGCTTCATCACTTTATCCGCTTTAAATCCGCTTTCTGCCTCCTGTAAAATTCTGGGGTTTGTAGTTTAGTGAGGCTGTTAAAGTCTCCTCCTTAAACTACAAACCCCAGAATCCTGCAGGAATTTTAAGTGGATTCATTATTTAATGTGTCACTTGGTGGGCTTGCTTCTTTCTAGCCTGCTACTGAGGCGTCTTCCGGATCCTCCTCTTAACAGGCCGCCCTCCCCCTGTTTCATGCGAGAGACTTTGTGCCCCCCGCTCAGTGTGCCTAGTTCCCCGATGCTTCCTACTAGCACAGACTTGTCAACAGACCTGAGCATGCGCAGTGCGGGCCTCGGGGATCCTCTGAGCGTCAGGGGCTGGGCCAGACTGCAGAGAGACGAAGCCAGGCTGTTGCCCTCCCTGCCGGTGGTAGGTGGGCACCGGTGGCATGACTTCCCCCTTCCCCTATTGGCTTGGCCCTAAAGCAAGCCAGTCTTATGTCCTAATAAACCCGTTATCCCTTCTGAAGGGACTGAGTGTTCTCTCTACGATGTGGAAAGACCTTTGGAGCTTTAGAACAGAGTCATAAATACCCCACGGAGTGGTGCTTTCAGGTTGTTCTGTGACCTGAATTCTCCTTGTTTACAGGGAGGGGTATATTTAGTTGTAAAATGATATAGATCCGTGTCTATCCCTCCTGCTTTAGATTGTCCCTTATTGTCATAGGTGGAGTTTAATGATCCCGAATGATATTTGCCTCAGCCTAATGAGATCACATGGCTCTGTCATGTCAGAATTTTGCAACTTTCTGATTACTTCCTTTTTTTACAACACACCCCAAGATACCAAGTTCATTTGCTGTCTGGTGTATCTTTTGAACTTTTCCTGTTATAATTGGCACTCCTGGAGAAGTGTGGAGCCATTTATATTGTGTCTGTGGCCCCTTTCACACAGCTGAATAAAATCCCACGTTTTCTGCTTTGAACTGGAATATATGGCAGTGTGCACTTAGATAACCCAGTTCAAAGCAGATATTGTAGGATTTTCCGCTTTGATATTCTGGGTTATATGGCTGCATGGAAGGGCCCTGGGTCTCTCTTTCTTTCCCATGACTTTTCCTCCCTGTTTTTCAGAACATAGATGAATGTGCAAAATATGTCAGTCATTTTTTTTATCTACTGTAGAACATTCCAGACATTTCATGTTGGTGACACAGTTTTTAGACAAGCATCATTTTAAAACACTTTGATTCACTTTTATTCACAAACCAGAGGTTAAAGCAACCCCTTATAAAAGATACAGACACATACATAAACTGTATAGGAGCATAACATATCTCATGAAACCTTTCATTTATATTTATATATGTGTTTTATAGCTTATTTCACATAGACATAGAGGTCTCTCATTATGTTCATGTATCACGCCTTCACATTACAGCCATCACACTAATGTATCACAACACAGTTTGGAAAACTTTGATTTACTGGATCCTGTATATATGAGCTCTACATAAATACTCATTAGAATATTACTAATAATACTGACTACATGCTGTCAGATGCTTCTGTTTGAATACTGAATCTGAAAAAAAAAACAGATCATCTTTCTTTTTAAAAGTTATGTACAATATTTGTGTTCTGGCCTTGTGTTCAGGAGAATGGGAGATTATACTTCTTTTTTCCCTTCATAACAATTATGAGCTGCTACTACTAGGTAAATTAAGATATAACATAGTGAATGGCTGGAAGACACCCAAAAGTGTTTTTGATGAAATTTGAATTTAGGGATGTTTTCTCAGGAATTTATGTTATTCACTCATACTTTTGTTATGAGGAATCTAGGGCCCCATGTACACTGCTATTTGACACAGCTTGAAACTGCATTGTATGGTCAGTGTAGATGCATATAATGCAGTTAACCTGTTTTATTTGAATTTACACTTTTTTTTTGTCGTGTCAGGAGCGACTTGAGAAACTGCAAGTCGCTTCTGGTGTGAGAGAATTGGCCATCTGCAAGGACGTTGCCCAGGGGACGCCCGGATGATTTGATGTTTTTATCATCCTTGTGGGAGGCTTCTCTCATGTCCCGCATGAGGAGCTGGAGCTGATAGAGGGAGCTCATCCACCTCTCCCCAGATTCGAACCTGCGACCTGTCGGTCTTCAGTCCTGCCGGCACAGGGGTTTAACCCACTGCGGCACCAGGGCCTCTGAGTTTACACTGACCATATATTGCAGTTTCCTACTGCATTATATAGCAGTGTACATGGAGTTACCTAGGTTACCACTTATCTTATTTATTTTTATTTTATTCCTTTTATCTTCTAATGCCTATTTGTTTGAGATGGTTTGGTTCAGGACAGAATTGTAATACAGTCCTTGCAGGTTGTTTAGCACTATGCTTATCATATCATTTGAAGCAGTGCTACTTGAAGTGACCATTCATAAATTCCATTTTTAATTTTGTGGTTATCGCCATTTCATTCACTTCATTAAGTTGTGTCACTCTTTCCATTGCTGGTTTAAAAGATAAATTAAGCACTATATTGCAGTTATGCTTTTGAAACATTATCACTGGTGGCTGGGCCAGAAACCATAACCTTGTGAGGATCATCTTTGCATTTAATTCTGGGCATCGCAGTTCAGTGGCAAATAAGAGAGTATTATTATCACATTATAGAATAGTGCCTCTTGAGCCATCTGATGCGGGGGACCAGCAACTGCCATAGCTAATGTGCCAGGAATTTATATTGTACTTGTGCCCACTGACTGCAACAGTTCTTTTCTGAAAACATGCTTGCATACCAGTATGAATCCACAAACCACCTCTTTGAGTATTTGAGTAGTGTTCTAGAGAACTGCATATATATGGATATTGCACTTTCTTTCTGGCAGTCCAAAAAGCACACTTCTTGTTCAACCCTATTTCTTAATACCTAATTCTCAGGTTTCCCACCCCTTCCATATCACACTATATCCTACAAATTAAAATAAAAAAGCTTGATAAGATGCTGAAATAGTCTTTCAAGTGTCTTTAGTCAGGTTGGAAAATAACTGTTCAGTTTAGCAATCTTTTGGTGACCATGAGAGATTTCACTGGGATGCAAAGGTTGGAGGAAGAGAAGGGGTTGGAGGAAGTCTAGACTATGGAACTATTATATTGTGAGACTCGGGATGAAAATGCAGATATGGGAAAAGTTTCCTTTTATTACGAAAGGAAACTTTGCCTTAAGGGTAATGTTTTGGTGGTGATTGCTTTGGGGCAGAAAGTCAGATCAGAGTCACAAGTGGATTTTTGATTTCCCATTTTCTAGAGCAGTGGTTCTCAACCTGTGGGTTCCCAGATGTTTTGGCCTTCAACTCCCAGAAATCCTAACCGCTGGTAAACTGGCTGGGATTTCTGAAAGTTGTAGGCCAAAACACTTGGGAACCCACAGGTTGAGAACCACTGGCCTATATAGTGAGGATGGATAATCAAAGAAAAGCACCAGCCTCTTGCATGTGTGCCCTTGTCTCTGGGCATGGTAGTCATTGAGGGAGTCTACCTAAATACCTAAAGGCAACAAATCCCATCAGATTTTGTTTGCTCAGCAGGACCAGCCTTGAATAGGAGACCATCAACAAATACCAGATGTTGTAGGCTTTCAGTGGAAGGCACTACCAGAAGTGCCTCTTAGGATTTTTGCCTAAGTAAACTGTGAAGTCAGCTCTGTCTTCTCCTACCCTCTTCTTCAGTTTCCCCTATTTATAAGTTTTCCCAATAGAGTAGATTCCTTCCTTTGTATTAGTTTTGGGTGGAGCATAAAAACTCCTAGAGGCCAGCGTTAGTTGGTCTATTCCATTTGCCAGTATACAGCTCCTTTGCTGGACTCCTCCTTATTTTGCAACAGAACTACAGAGAATAGAGACTTGGGAATTGTGTGGTAATCCTGGGCTGAAGCAATCCAAAAAACGGGCATCCTTAGCACCTGCATTTAGCAGTATCCATATATCAGCAGTCCAAGAGACAACAGAAGCTTTTGACCAGCTTAAGCTTCACAAGGAAGATTGAGACAGTATATAACCATAGCTTTGCACCAGACATAGGAAACTTTCAAAGATTTCAGAGAGATGACTGCAACCAGCAAAATCTCCTTTTGTAATGTATTGTTTCAAGTTATCCTATAATAGTCCCTGACAGATTTAACCCTTTATTCATCTTGTTTTCAGTAAACTCGTTTTGGTTATCTTTTCGCCTTGCCTAAAGTGCCTCTGAGTGTTAAGGGTCTCAATCTTAACAGAAGGCATACAGATAGCCCCCGAGTAAAGCCAGACACTATAGTTTTTTCCCAAAGGCTCGGGCGTGCCATCTCATAAACCCTATCCAATTCATAGGGTTGCCATAAATTAACAGATGATTTGAAGGCACAAACATACTTGTTCAGTGGTGATCCCTGGACCAGTGCTGGTCTCCAAGCCATCAAATCTCAGTTCCTCGCAAGTCTGTAGGAGGAAAAATAACACAAACTTGAGACACAGTACCAGTCCCTGACACATGGATAAATATTATCATTCCTTTCAAAGAAGGTCAATTGAGAAACACTGAATTAAGAAACACTTAATACATAGTTTCTATGCTAATGACTTCACTCATAAATATTTGTACTGTATTTGTTGCCCCATTCAGTGTAACATTTCTT